GCGGGGGATATTTAAATCCCCCGCGGATTTCCCTACGACGACTGCTGAAATTTACATGCCCCTTCCGGAAGAGGGGCCAGTGTAGACGTAGCCCAGGAGTTTTTCAGGATTCTGGAGATATCCCAGAAAAACTCTTCTGCATCCAGGGTTGCGTTTGTTCTTCCACTTTTTTAGTGGAAGAGCAAACAGGCTCTTTTGGTCACCCCTATATTCCTCTTTCCACAAGGAATAAGGTGGCTTCCAAAAGAAGGGTTTTTTTTCTGACATTTGGTCCAGGGTAGACAGGCCAAATGTTGGAAAAACCTCTTCCTACAGAATAATAATAATAATAAAAAAATAAGCAGCAGTATAAGGATTGGGGATAGCTTTTTTAGTGGAAGAGCAAACAGGCTCTTTTGGTCACCCCTATATTCCTCTTTCCACAAGGAATAAGGTGGCTTCCAAAAGAAGGGTTTTTTTTCTGACATTTGGTCCAGGGTAGACAGGCCAAATGTTGGAAAAACCTCTTCCTACAGAATAATAATAATAATAAAAAAATAAGCAGCAGTATAAGGATTGGGGATAGCAAGTGATGGAGAGGAGGAGAATAGAGAGGGCGGGGCTTCAAGGAAGGGGCGGGGTGGTAGATCTTGGCTTGGTCTGTCATTTAAAAAGTGATCTTGGATGTGAAAAGGTTGGAGACCACTGGTCTAATAGCACCTTAAAGACTATCAAAACATGTAGATGGTATCATGAGCTTTCGTGGGCAAAACCCACTTCTTCCGATGACTGAAGTATTAAGAGTTCAGATCCAAGAATAAATAAGGGAAGGGGAGGGACCCTTATTATACCCTTATTTATTCTTGGATCTGGACTTTTAATGTCCAGTCATCTGAAGAAGTGGGATGTACCCATGTAAGCTCGTGATTCCATCTACATTGTTTGTTAGTCTTCAAGGTGCTGCTAGACTATTCATTGTTTAACTTTTTCTAGTTACAGACTAACTTGGCTACCCCTCTGAAGCTTTTAAATACATTAAGTCATTTCCAGCTTTATGGGGAAGTGATCTTACTGGCCACCTCCCTTCCTCTCCACACATTGACAGTCATTGTTCTTGCGGGTGGTAGTTTCAGCCAACAGGCGAAGGATTGAATGTGATGCAGACTGAAGTCTTCACTCTTCACTTCTCATTTGGCCCTGAGGCAGGAAGCTAGTGATTACAGTTCTACCATTATAATCTACCTGTTTTGCACGAACAGAGGAGAGCAGGAGTAGTGTCATAAGCACCCTGGGAGGCGGGGGGAGGGGTCAAATTCATCCTCGTTTAACTTAAACGACAACAGTGAATTTGGCCCCATGTATCTAATGCTAGTCAGTTTTACAAATCCCTTTTTTGGGATTTTGTCAGAGTCTTAGCTCACTTACTCCAATGTATTGTTCCCTTCCAGCACTTGTTTTACCTCAGCACTGGAGAAATATATATAGGAGGCCTACGGTCTCGAAAGAGTACAGTAGATCGGTGCCTAACTGATTCTGGAATGGGGGACCTGCCCTTCATAGAGCAATGTAACGAGGCTGTGAAAAAGGGACTGAATATGCACTGGGATTTTAAGCAGGTAAGTCAATGTCTATGTCCTTATGTTTCAATGGCATCTTTCATCCAGCAGGAGCCTAAAAGGCTTTACACACAAGAGGATACATTTTCACACAGGGAAGCCCCAGCAGTAGGATTTGCACTTGCAATTTAAGGCACCACGCTGATGTCATTGAGAACAGTAGGTCCTCCACATCAAATGGATCAGGACCTGTGTATCTCAAACTCCATTTTATCCTCCCATCTCTCAAGAAGACCCCACCTCCTTAGGGTCACCCCAGCAGGACAGACTTGGATTCTGACCATCACTCAATAGGGTCTGGACATTCTCAGCAGCAGGAGCTTGGCTGTGGAACTACTTGTCAGAGGAGATCACAGTGGGCTGATTGTGCGCAGTACAGAGTGATGTGGTAAAGCTTTCACCCAGGACTGACAGTCTTTGAAAGGCAAAACAGCCCTACCCAAATAAAGCCACACTCCTCTGACCCAGAAAAAATGCCTTTTGATTTGGGATTTGAATTCCTTAATTTTGTATAATCCTTAAACACCGTAGTGATAGCAGGCCTCCAGGCATTAGAAAGACGCAAGGTCTGGTCACATGGCCTCCTTCTGCTTCTTTGGGAATCTGGTCAGAGACATTCAGATACCACTGTGATGGGTGGTATAAGAACATAGATGGAGAAGAGAGAGAAGGGCCTGCTGGAGAGTTTGACAGGTTCTTGGCAGAGGGACTTGAGGCCAGTCAGAAATCAGTCCAACCTGGCTTTGCTTCCCAAAGTTCTCAACCAGCTGTCCACTAGTTGCCAGCCTCTTACTACCCATCCCCCAAATTAGGCTGCTCCCAGGACAGAATGCTTTGAAACATTCTGGATCACCCACCTCAGAAACGTTACAGATCTGGAGTGAAGGGTGGGATTCCAACAGATTTATGTTGTCCTTAACCTGGTCTGTGAGCACAGCTGGAGACAATTTAAAGTAGGGAACAAATACTTTTGAAAGGCAAATGATCTGTAGAAAGGGGTAAACGGTGAGGTGGCAAAGTTTGCAGATGATACTAAACTGCTCAAGATAGTTAAGACCAACTTTGTGAGAACTTCAAAAAGATCTCACAAAACTAAGTGATTGGGCAACAAAATGGAAATGAAATGTAATGTGGATAAATGTAAAGTAATGCACATTGGAAAAAATAACCCCAACTATACATACAATATGATGAGGGCTAATTTACAACTAATTAGGAAAGAGATCTTGGAGTCATCATGGATAGTTCTCTGAAGACATCCATGCAGTGTGCAGCAGCAATCAAAAAAGCAAACAGGATGTTAGGAATCATTAAAAAATGGATAGAGAATAAGACTGAGAGTATCTTATTGCCTTTATATAAATCCATGATACGCCCACATCTTGAATACTGTGTAATGATTAGGGGTTTGGAACGAGTCCCATATGAAGAGAGATTAAAGAGACTAGGACTTTTCAGTTTAGGAAAGAGGAGACTAAGGGGGGGATATTATAGAGGTATATAAAATCATTATCGGTATAGAAAAAGTGAATAAGGAAAAGTTATTTACTTGTTCCCGTAATATAAGAACTAGAGGCCACCAAATTAAATTAATGGGCAGCAGGTTTAAAACAAATAAAAGGAAGTTCTTCTTCACAAAGAGCACAGTCAACCCGTGGAACTCCTTGCCTGAGGAGGTTGTGAAGGTAGGACTATAAAAGGGTTTAAAAGAGAACTAGATAAATTCATGGAGGTTAAGTCCATTAATAGCTATTAGCCAGTATGGGTAAGGAATGGTGTCCCTAGCTTCCATTTGTCAGAGGGTGGAGATGGATGGTAGGAGAGAGATAGCTCATTCGCTCTGGTGCACCTGGCACTGGCCACTGTCGGCAGACAGGGTACTGGGGTGGATGGACCTTTGGTCTGACCCAGTATGGCCATTCTTACGTTCTTATGAACAAATATTTTTGAAAAGCTGCCAGACCCATCTTAGTTCATATAAGTCATTTGCTAACTAGGTTATCCTGGGACACACAAAAAGTTGAGTTTCGTAGTGGAGTCCATTGAAGCAGAGTATATCAATCCTTAAGATTTGGCAGTGTATTGATATCTCTGAGATTTACTTCTATATACTACCCCACCCTATACAAAACATTTCCCTTTCTAGTATCGCCTTGAGAAAATACATCCCTTTGATGTTAGGGTGATGCTTGTGCAACATGTGCTATTGAGTGGTTTATCTGAACTCAAAAAAAGGTAACTGTATTTTAATAGGCTTTAGATATTTCCTTTTAAGGCTACGTCTAGACAGCAGAGCTTTTCCGGGATACCAGAGGTATCCCGGAAAAGCAATGCCGTGTCCAAGGAATGCGTCCACTTTTCCAAAAAAATATTTTGGAAAAGTAGACGCATTCTTTCAATATCCCTGTAAACCTCGTTTTATGAGGAAGAGGGGATGTGTTGAAAAAGGAGGTTTTTCCGAAATTTGGTGCTGTGTAGACGTGCCAAATTTTGGAAAAGCCTCTTTTGAAACAAAAGCAGAAAAAGATACTCAAATTGAGGTTTGCAATTTGCATATCTTTTTCTGCTTTTCTTTGTAGTCAAGACATAGCTTACAGGTTCCTTTTTGTCAGTACATATGAAGACTCTTCTGTTTACCAGAAAAGACTGGAGGTGTGTATGTTGTATCTCAGATTAATTTATAGGGACTACATCTGTAAATATCATCTAGTCTTTGAAAACTTGAATAACTTGATCATTCTTTTGTATCTCACTGGTTTGTCCTTGTCTTTGCTAACTTATGGAGGCACAGATTTTTAAGACCCAGAAGGAATCCCTAGGTCACCGAATCTAACCTCCTGGTCAGCAGGCTCTGGGCTGCATGCAGCACCTCCCCACTAATCCAGCAACCGAAATGAGACCAAAGTATTCTTTCTGTTACTAATTTATTTCTAACTGGTATCTTGATACTAATTTCACTCCAGGGTAATAACTTTCCACCTTCTAAAGCTGCATCTTTTGGTTCACTCAGTCACTTCCAACCTCTGACCACAGTCAAGCTAAATTCAATGACAAAAATGTATTCTGTCTGTGTGCAGAGAACATTTTCACTGACCTAACACATCACATACATAATTGTTTACTGTGTAGGCACTCAGTTCTGAAACATAGACAGCAACATGCTTGTGCTTGTTTCATTTTACAGGGATCATCCGTAATGAACAAGAAAACTAAGAGATGCCTCGAAATTGTAAAGGATAATCCATCTTCAGCATACAGGCTTGTAATGCAGAACTGCACTGGACAAAAATGGAATATTCAATACACAGTTAAGGACTGGGGCAAGACAGGTACTCTGAGATGATGGAATCTCAAGTTAGCTTATTTATTTCAAAGTATTGATGCAAGGAAGTGGGGAAATTGGAGTCACCAGGAAAACATATTCTTCAGAGTTTTCCAAAGAAGAATAAAAGTTCTGTTGAAAAAATGTTGTGCAGAATTTTTTTCTATGCTGCTAGGTACATTAAACGATGGAGATTATCTCAGGTAGACTTTATAACTTTTTGGGGAACATATTATTGGTATGGAGGCCTCATGCTGTTGCCTCCCTCTTTGGTTATGGTGGCGAGTAAATGTATTTGAATAAGTTGATACCATATTCCCTCACCCCTGATAAACAGAGGTGATTTCAGGCAAATTAGGCTTTTTGGTGTGAGTCAAGTGGACAGCACAACACTGCTTCATTTTCTGCTGTACATTTGTTGTTTGATTAGGGTCAGCTGTAATTCCTCTTGTATTAATCATTCTTACTGCTTGTATTTGTTTGTCATATGCAAATGTTTGTCATGGTGAACAACTGAAAAAATTAAATTTCAACTGAAATTAAATGCTACTGTGGTGGGTTTCTTCATCATTCCCTCCCCTACAAATATATTACATTTAATTACATTATGTTCCCTATGACCAATCAGTTCAGCTATATTACTCTCTTACATCAAATTCTGCGCTATCCATATAACTAAATCAAGAATTGCATCTTTTCTTCAGGTTCCAGGATGAACTGCTCCAAGAAGCAGTCATTTATTGTGTCTAGAAATGTTATCTCTCTCTCCCTCTGCCTACTCAGTCACCGTGAGAATAGTTAAATTCCCCCATTATTACTGTGTTTTCTGCTTTGTAACCTCTCTAATCTTCCTAAGCCTTTCACAGTCAATATGATCATCCTGATCAGGTGGTCAGCAGTATATGCCGAATATTATGCTCTTAGGTTACGTCTAGATTGGCATGATTTTCCGCAAATGCTTTTAACGGAAAAGTTTTCCGTTAAAAACATTTGCGAAAAAGAGTGTCTAGATTGGCACGGACGCTTTTCCGCAAAAGCACTTTTTGCAGAAAAGTGTCCGTGCCAATCTAGACGCGGTTTTGCGCAAGAAAGCCCCAATCGCCATTTTCGCCATCAGGGCTTTTTTGCGCAAAACACTTTTTAGCTGTCTACTCTGGCCCTCTTGTGCAAAAACTTTTCCAGAAAAGAGCTTTTGCCCGGATGGGCATTTGCGCAAGAAGCACTGATTTCAGACAGTAGAACGTCAGTGCTTTAGCGCAAAATCAAGCGGCCAGTCTAGACGCAGCCTTATTGTTCAAGCATGGAAATTATATCCATCGAGATTCTTTGATACAGTTTGAGTGATTTCAGATTTTTACTTTATTTGACATTATGCTGTCTTTCATAGAGGGTGCCAGCCCCCCCGTCCTAGCTTGCATGAACTAGTCCCAATCTGTCATTCCTATATCTTTTGTACCCTGCTATCACCTCATCCCATTGATTATTCCCCATGCACCGTTTCTGTCATGTCTATTATATTAATAGCTTCATTTAATGCCATGTACTCCAGCTCATGCCAAGTTTGAGTTTGTAGCATGTTTGCCTCCTTAGCACCCTTACCCTTGTATTGTTAGTTTATTTAAATAAGGGTAATGTGGGAAAAATTCTGGGTTTAAAAGTTTATTTCTTAGTAGGCCATCTTGACTATTATGTATTGTTGTTTTAGCGTCCGTATTTGTTCCCCTTCTTCACTCAGGTTTAGCTTTTAAAGTTTATTACCTAGCAGGCCATTTTGGGTTTTATGTGTTATTTGGCCTCCATGTTTGTCGCCTTCTTGACCCAGGTTTAATGCCCTTTTTGATTTTGGTGCTTTTTTAGCAGGAGGGCGGGAAATGTAAAGGACATGTGACTGGCTAATCTGCCTGACAACAGGAGGTTTTATAAGGCCAACACTCTAGTCACCTGGGCTGTACATTCTAGAGGCAGTCAGGGAATTAGCAGCTGAGTTATCTTAAGTTTATCAATTTTGCTTGTGGGTAATAGATTGACACTACATAGTTTCACCTAATTAATACATGTATTATTTGCATATTAAGTTTTGTCAGCTCTTTGGTTGGGAATCAAGACAGTCAATGATAAATGTGGGACATGGGGGATATGAGAGCTAATATTGCCCCATGCCATGGTAAACCATAAGAAACACCAGTTGCACAATTGAACTGCTTCAGGGAAAAGCAGTTCATAGACAGTGGCACACACATATGAATGACCAGTGAGACTAGTACTTCATAGGGTCAGCAGAGCAACTGAACTCCTGGTAGCCTCTTCTCTGTACCTGAAACCTTGTCTGCATTTAGGAATCATGGTTCCAGCTCGGTAGGACTTCATTTATGTGAAGAAAAGTCAATTGTAGATACCAGCTGTTAGCCATAGGGACAACTATGTTGATGCTGCATGTTGTTTAATTACCAAGCATAGCCAAGGACAAGTTGCATTCAGAATATCAGAAACCACACACGTAAAAGCTGGTTAAACCATCATAGTTGAATGCTATTTGGCCTTTGCTGCAGTTACCCTAATCAGTTGCAACCCGGTCAGCAATGGATAATTTTCCTACTGTACGTGTGGATCTGTCTCATGCCTGGAATCCTGTTTGTATATAGACCATGTTTCAACACTCCACTGTTGTAGTATGCCTGGCCCCTTTAGGGAGCAATGGATCTAGCTAGATCTCTGCCGTAACTAGTAATTGCCTTGCAGCCAGAGAGGGCAGGGCTAATGAGGTCAGACATGAAAACTCCCGGAGCTCAAAGTAATAGTGCTTGAGAAATCCGTGTCAGGAGGAAACTGTGATAAGAACAAAGGGTATGTCTACACTGCCACCCTAGTTCGAACTAGGGGTACGTCTAGACTACATGCCTCTGTCGCCAGAGGCATGTAGATTAGGCTACCCGACAGAGTAAAATGAAGCGGCGATTTAAATAATCGCCGCTTCATTTAAATTTACATGGCTGCCGCGTTGAGCCGACAAACAGCTGATCAGCTGTTTGTCGGCTCAGCGCGATAGTCTGGATGCTCCCCTGCCGACATCAAAGGGAGTTGTCGACAACCCAGGTATGCCTCATCCCAGGAGCTGATCAGCTGTTTGTCGGCTCAACACGGCAGCCATGTAAATTTAAATGAAGCGGCGATTATTTAAATCGCCGCTTCATTTTACTCTGTCAGGTAGCCTAATCTACATGCCTCTGGCGACAGAGGCATGTAGTCTAGACGTACCCTAGGGTGGCTAATGTAGGCATTTGAACTTACAAATGAAGCCCGGGATTAAAATATCCTGGGCTTTATTTGCATGTTCCCAGGCGCTGCCATTTTGAAATGACCCATAGTTAGAACTCCCTGCCCGCAGCTACACGCGGCACAGACTAGGTAGTTCAAATTAAAGCTCATAATTCGAACAACCTTTAAACATCCTAGGATTTCCCTCCTTGGTTTAATGGTAGTTCAAATTAGGAGCTTTAATTCGAACTACCTAGTCCGTGCTGCTTGTAGCCACAGGCAGGGAGTTCGAACTACAGGGCATTTAAAAATGGTGGTGCCCGGGAAGATGCAAATAAAGCCTGGGGTATTTTAATCCCGGGCTTCATTTGCAAGTTCGAATGACTACATTAGCCACCCTAGTCCGAACTAGGGTAGAAGTGTAGACATACCCAAAGGGAGTTGGTTAGGCTTCTGCGGGAGGCCCTGAGGCAGGAAGCAGAGTAGTTCCTAGGAGGGAAGTCAGTGGAACCTTCTGGGGATGAGGGCCTCCCGGGAGAAACCCCTGGGAGATAGGGCTCAATTACAAGTGGGGCAGAAGAATTTGTTTTTGGTATTTAGGTGGAGTTGTGTTGCGCTGGGAGGGAACAGCATTGTAAGTATGACCTGGCCAATTGGCTGAAATTCTTCAGAAGACAATAACACTGCAGAACCAGAATGACATACAAAAGGCAGCACTATATTGGAAGAATTCTTGCAATGTCATGTCCTGGCTGAAAGGGGTGCTCCACTGGAGAATTGCCAATATGACATAGCACCATTACAATGAATGTGATTTCAGCACATCCACGCTGCAGCAGTGACTAGATTTGCATTTCCATGGTAAAGGGCAGGAATCTCAGTATTGATGCAAAAATGGTTATAAAAAATTTTAGGTTACTACTGGCCTGCTTTTACTGAGTTTTAGCAGTAAACAGTTATTTTCATATACATGACCTATAGCTCACATGCTTATGACCTTGTTGCTTACTCAATTAAACTAAATGTTCAACAAATTGCAATTTCCTGGCTACAGGCAACAAATGTGTCAGAATAACCACAAAACCATATTTATTACATTTAAAACTTCCGTTTTGCTATGATAGTTTCTATTTTCTTTTATGTTACTTTTGAAAGATATAAATGGGTATAGTTACTATGATTCATGCTTTATTATAGAGAAGTGGGGGGCAACCCACAGGCCACATGCAGCCCATCAGAGGGCTACAGCAACCCCCTTCTGTCCTTTTCTCTCGCATGTTAGGGAGCTCTGCACTTTCCTTCACCTTCTCCTTCTTCCCAGAACTTCCAGAATGCTGTAAATCAGCTGATTCATGTCCCATCTTCGCTCCTCTTTGTACATCCCAGAGCTAGAATCATCTCATTCATGATGTTCAGGCTCTGGGAGAGAAGAGTAAGAGTAGTGATAGGACACACATGGGGGAGGAGACAAGGGAGAGGCAAAGTGGGGGCGTTGAGGGAAGGGATGTAACAGAGGGGAGGGTCAAGCAGCCCCAAGCAAAATGAGAAGTTGCACATGCCCTCGCTTTAAATGTGTATAAGGTGTGTGCTCGTCACACACAGTGTTGTGAGAGCCATGTGCACCTTCTGCTTCTTTTATGTCGCTTTTGCTGGCAACTTAATTTACCCCTAATAATGAATCTCTTTGTATTGAAAAGGGCATGAAAAAGAAGGAAAATCAAGTGCAATGGATTTAATCATATTCTTGGGGTCATGGTTAGTGCACAGGCCTGATTTCAATCCTGCAGCCCACTGAGTTGAAGGAGGGCCACTCAGGGCACGTCTACCCATCAGGGCTAAACTCAACATAAGCTATGCAACTTCAGCTTCGCTAATTGCACCAGTTTAAGTCAAAATAGCTTATTTTGACTTTTGGCGCAGTCTACGCAGCAGTTATTTCAAAAGAGAGCACTCTTCTCCTGACTTCCCTTACTCCTCATACAATGAGGGTTATGGGAGTTGGAGTAAGAAGACGTTATTTCAAATTTATTTCAAATTAATGGGCTTGCTGTGTAGACGTGCACTATGTCATTTTGCAATAATGTTAGTTTTTCCAAAATAATGCTGCTGTGTAGACATAGCTTCTTAAGCTTGGTTGCCCATAACTAGTATAAAGGATTTGACAGGAATCTATAACTACAAGTTGTAAATGTCCTGTACGTGGCAGCTTGTAAATCTAGGAGCTATGGAATCAATCAACCAAAG